TAAATAAATATATATTTATTTGTTGTATGTTAATTATTATATATATATATATATTAATAATTAGTTTTAGTTGTATAGATATAGAGAATATATATATATATATATATATATATATATATATATACACAATAAATTTTCTTTTGTATTCCAAGTATTCTATATATTTTAGAGAGACATTTTTTTATGAATGATTTGATTTTGTGGAGTCATTTTGATTCTAAAAGCACTCAGTATTCCTAGTATTCTTTAAATATCAGACTACCTATTGGCTGTACTTCATTATGCAATTGTGTCATAAAGCCTTCAGATTTTATATCTTTATGTATGCAGCAATGTTATGAAAACTGGATATATTTAGTTGTTCAACTTTAATTGTGTTTAAAGCCCATTTTTATAGGGGTTTTAGTTTTGGCGGCATATCTTATCAGATTTTCAGTTTTGATCAACATACAGAATTGATCTATTGTACTAGCTTGTAGAACTCCTTGGAGCAATACATGCTTTATAGTTTAAACTTATAGCAAGGAGTGCATTAAATTCCACTTTTGGAAAGTGGATGTATTTTTTCCTTCTAATGCATCCAGTTAGAACCTTTTGAGAAATACTTTGTACCTTGAATATATATTCATGGCAAGGGTCACTATCATATGAAATGCAAACTGCTCATAAGGAATTGAGGTATCTTTGTTGTTTAATAGGTTGCAGCTCTTATTCAATTTCATGGTGTACCATGTGCTTTGGGAAACGTTTGGGTACTTATTTTTGTTCATATTCCTTCTTGAAGGATTTACTTGACCTTAGCCCTCTAGAAAACATATTTCCTAGTATTGCCCCATGCTTCTCCAATAACTGGGAAAATCACTTCAATCTCGGTTTAAAAGCACCACATTTCTTAATGCATTCCCCTCATGCATGGCTTTTTCAGCTTTCATGGTCTAGAGGCACACATACATGTTTATTAATTGAATGCACGGTGATTCATGGTCATCTTAATTATAATTTTTTTTCTCTATTGGATGTTATTGTAACTTGTTCATTTTCACAAGAAAGTAGGGCTTAAATATCCATGCTTACAAGGTCCTCTTGGTAGAGTGATTTTCCCAAATAAATATTTTTTTAATGAACTTTTATGTTCAGTAAAATTTACAAGAAAATAACAAGATGAGAATGGGAGATGTGACGTGATAGTAGGGTACAAAAGTGAATGACAAAGGAAGAGTTCGATATAATTTGTGTAAGAAGGAAATGGGTGGTGGTATTTATCGCCTAAAAGAACATCTTGCTTATGTAAAAGGTAATGTCACCAGTTATCAAGAAGTGCCACCAGAAGTAAAACAACAAATGTTAAAATTAATTACAGAAGAAAAATGAAAAAAAGTGCAAAAAGAAAGGGATGCAGAGGAGATAGAGAGAGGGTACGAAAATTCAATAGATTAGGAAGATGACCAAGAGGCAGAATTCGAAGCGCAAATGGAATTAGCTAAGATTGCCAGTATTCAATAGCTTAATTATAGACAAATAGAAATTCAAGAGATGTATGGGAGAAGGGATAGTGCATCCAGTAGTTGTCAACCTCAAGAACACGTTGTACCGGATAGGGGAGGATGTGGGCCTTCATTATTTAGATCCACATCTAATAGATTGAGACGTAGTTTCTCTAGTCGCCCATCCTCTTTTAATCAGTCATCTACTACTTAACGACATGAACATATAGATGTGTCATCGATGACCTGCGAACCCTCTAGACTTGATCCCACAAGTCACAATATCATCAAAAAAAATTAAAATTACGTCAGCAAGTGTATGAATAG